GCGGGGATCTGGGTGCTGCCTGAGGTGCTGTGCTCAGCCAGGGGGTCCCACTGACCTGTGTGGGGTGTCCCCTCTCCCCTGGCAGCACTGCACCCCATCCCCGTGCCCTGCTCCTTGGTCAGCTCATACCCGTCCCATGCCTGGCCGGGCTGTGCCAAGGGCCAGCTGCGGCGCTGACACCCCCCGCTTTCTGTCCAGGTGCAGTTCTGCTTCTGGCTGCTGCGTTACATCTGCACGTTCATGCTCTTCATCCTGGGCATGAAGGCCCCGGGGCTGCCCCGCAAGCCCTACATGCTGCTGGTCAACGAGGAGGAGCGGGATGTGGAAAACAGCCAGGTGAGTCCGGGGCCGGAGCAGTTTGAGGACATGGCCAGGGAGGAGCTGGGGACAAAATGGAAATACAGCTGCCCTGGGATCAGCATCTTCAGGAGAACAGGGAGGAGCGAGGTTTAGGACTGCCCAAGCTCCCTGCCCGCTGTCAGCAGGATGCGGCCCTGCTGGGAGGATGGAGTGGGGACCCTGGGAGGACGGGGCTGGTTTTCTTGGTGGGGTGTTCCCTGGGGCCATTGCCAGCTGGGCTGGGGTGCCGGGGCAGTGACCCCTCGCTCCGCTCTCCCCCAGCCGCTCCTGCCTGACGCCAGCAGGACCACCTCCACCTGGAAGGATTTCCGGAGAAAGCTGCGGCTGCTGGTGCCATACATGTGGCCGAGGGGCAACCACCTGCTGCAGGGGCTGGTGCTGTTCTGCATGGCACTCATGGGGCTGGAGCGGGCCATCAATGTCTTCGTCCCCATCTACTACAAGAACATCGGTGAGGCGCTTGGAGCTCGGCATGTGAGGCTGCCCACGGCCTCACCAAGTGCTGGGGGGTTTTGCGAGTGATCTCGGGGGCTGCAGGGACCTGGCAGGAGCAGGGTCCAGGGGGTCAGGGACCAGCGCTGCGTGCTGGGGCTGGTTCTCCATGGGGCACCTGGCGATGCTCCCTGCCCCTCCACCCTGACCCTTGCCAACCTCTCCCCAGTGAACGAGCTGACGGAGGGCGCTCCCTGGCACACCCTAGCCTGGACTGTCTGCATCTATGTGGGGCTCAAGTTCCTGCAGGGCGGAGGTGCTGGTAAGGACCGCCGGGAAGGACGGAGCGCTGGGGAGAGACAGCATGGGGCACATCATGCCGGGGCTGGGATGGCCGGGGATGCCCTTATGCCCCCATCACTGCTGCTCTCTCCTGGGAGCAGCAGCCAGGGCTGGTTCTGGGTTGGGGACAGTGCGGGGGGCCCCATCCCAAATCCCTCTTTCCCAGCTGGGCTTTCTGGGCTAGTTGCATGCCCCGGTGGTGCCGGTCCCCGCTGACCGTCCCGTGGTGTCCCGCAGGCTCCACCGGCTTCGTGAGCAACTTGCGCACCTTCCTGTGGGTGTGGGTGCAGCAGTTCACCAACCGGCAGGTGCAGGTGCAGCTCTTTGCCCACCTGCACGGGCTGTCCCTGCGCTGGCACCTGGGGCGTCGCACCGGCGAGGTCCTGCGCAGCGTGGACCGGGGCACCAGCAGGATCAACAGCCTGCCCAGGTCAGAGC